AGACACAGAAAATCGAGTGAAAAACGCGAGGTATAGTGAGGCATAGATATATCAATCGAACGAACAGGAAAAACGTATGCAAATACTAGCCGTCGTATGAGCGAGATATCGCAGAGCAGGATAAATCGCCCAGCCGATTGCACAACAAACTAAGTTCACATCACGCACAGCAGACGGTGTTCATACGCCAATTTTGTGCTGGTGAAAGTGAGGCTTCTTCACTTACAAAAGAATCGATCAAGGTCGACTGTTTCACTACGAATCCGCGGTGTTAGGACAAGCAAGTACAAAGGAAAAGGAAACGGACAATAGAGCATGCAGCGTACTGTTAGTGGAAAACCTTGGATACTTTTTCCATCAGGGCTAGCTAGCTCTTAGCGGTTGCGTCTGCTGTACACCCAAGGTTTGAAAAAGGTGAAGATCACGCCCTTAATTACCTAGTGGTTGGTGCAGCATGCTTTTAAAGCCGACTCGTAGTGACTGACAACAGTGATCGACAAAGGAATCTAATAGGCTGTGATCAGGGCAAAACGGAAGAAACATAGGGTACTTAACACATTTTCAACAATAAAAGCAGCAGCGGCAGCGAGGGTAGTAGTGGTTGGCGGTGTATGTGAGTTAAGGATGTGAAGGTAGTTGGATGTTGTAGTGGTGGTCGGTACCTCTTGTGTAGGGTGCTGTGGACTGCTAGGTTGAGATGATGATGCTGCCGGTTCAGGTCCGCTGCCGTTTGACGCGACACTGCCAGTTGAATCGCTCGTCCTCAGCACACCACTGATTCGTGTCACCATTTTCACAGCGGAGATCGCGGCCTTTCAGAAGGGCACAAATTCAGGTGAAAATCTTTTCAGTACTGTACGAAACATAGCAACAACCAGAGGTGTGAAGAGATATAGTTCGTAGACATAAAAGACTGTCCAGAAAGCCACGCATCACTAAGAACGTAAGACCAGGTTTACAGTACATTTGAAGCATTTCCTCACGAAACATATCGCAACAAAATTGACAAACACCAGGTCGCAAGTGAAGCTGTGGTCACGCGTTATCTGTTCGAAAGTAGAAGTGTTCTGCAATTTAAGAAAAACAAAAAACGGCTTTCTTAGCATGGCGCGCCAGAGGAAGTCAAAAATGCGCCGTCTATCAAAACTAAGGTTTTTTTAGCGACCAGCTTCTCTCTTCATAAAATGCCGGCATTATTCTGAACTCTGCAGTTTTCAACTTATTGTGCCAAAGAAGTTGCTGGGTGAAAGACTTTACTAAGAATCACCTGACGTTTCGACGGATCGTCTTCCTCACCAGGGGAAGTCGGCCGACTTACCACGGAACTTTGAATGGAGATCTGGGTAGATCGATAGAGTCTATAAGGTTATTTACAAATATAGATAGCAAAACTGCAACCTGCATTTCACAAGCAACTTATGAGCAGGTAAAGTTTGTAATGGTGCAGTAGGGTGGAGGCTTGGTGGTGTGCTGTGAAGCATAAGCGAGGAATCGCATACGTCGAATCGAGTCGTGGTGGTTCAGTGGTAAGGTTCGACGTTCGACGACTCGATTCGACGTATGCGATTCCTCGCTTATGCTTCACAGCTCACCACCAAGCCTCCACCCTACTGCACCATTACAAACTTTACCTGCTCATAAGTTGCTTGTGTATAGCAGATTGGCTGCGTTTATACTTTGCGGCAGCGTAGCGTAGCGTGGCGCAGCGTAGAGTAGCGCTTCCAGCGTACGCCAGCGGCAGTGCCGAAGAGAGGATGCATATCGATCTAGCTTCACCAGCGTCACCAGCGGCACGCTGGCTGGCGTAACGCTAGCGTGCGCTAGCGGCACGCTAGCGTACGCCAGCGGCACGCTAGCGCACGCTGGCGTAGCGAGGGCACGGGAAGCATAGCTATCGATCTAGCTTCACCAGCGTTTTCTCGAGCGTTTCCAGCGCACCGTTTTGCCAGCGCTTGCAGCGGCAGGGAGTAGAGACTATGTGGCCGTGAGAGACGCGGAATCGACGTGTATTGTAGAGACCATGTGGCCGTCGGAGACGCAGAAGCGATGTGCATTGTAGAGACTATGTGGCCGTCGGAGACGCAGAAGCGATGTGCATTGTAGAGACTAAGGGCGAGTGAGAGACGCGCAATCGATGTGTTTTGTACCCTCCAGCTCTCCCATAGTCTCTACTCCCCTGCCGCTGCAAACGCTAGCAAAACGCTGGTGAAACGCTGGAGACGCTGGAACGCTAGATCGATATGCATCCTCTCCCCGGCACTGCCGCTGGCGTACGCTGGAAGCGCTACGCTACGCTGCCGCAAAGTATAAACGCAGCCTTGCAGTTTTGCTAACTAAACTTGCATATACCCTTATAGACTATTGATCTACCCAAGTCTCCATTCAAAGTTCCATGATATGTTGGCGGACCTCCCTGGTCAAAGGCTAGTTCACCACCATATGAATGGAACAACTTACTACTACAACTAACGCGAGTGGCGTCGTACCACTTATTTGGTGCGGACTGGCCTCTGAGGATGACGATCCCTGGTCTCGGACGGACAGTACGGTAGAGCGAACAGCGAAAATAACCCAGCCCTCTCCAGTAAAAAGCATAGTTAGCACTGAAAGAGGTTATGGGGGCCACGAATTTTAAGCTAGGTGCAGGGAGTTCCTCTGCTCTGCTGGCAGTCCGATTCACACCTCACAGAAGTGACGGAATGACGAGCACCCCATGCTCTGTCTTGGATCCGCTGCAGCTAGAAGTACTAGCTATATGCGAGCACAATCTCAGATTTCGGTTTATAGTAGGTGCGGGAGCTAGTAGACTTCGGAACAAATCTTCAATCCAAAAACGTCTTGGGAGCACTCATTTTTGCATGTCCTGCTGATTTTTGCTTAATCCTGGTCCTTTTTTTACGGTGAAAAGCAAGGATAAGCACTTCTAGAATCTAGCTTTCCTTTTTGAATGGGGCAAATTTTTATATCTAAAGCTGAGCGCAACTTTTCAGACAGCTCGGCATTGTGAAAAGATAGACAGATAAGCTTGTGCCAGAGAGGACAAAGGATAGGATAGACAAGGCAATGACATTCGCCTTCACTCGCTCATTCCATCATGCAAAGGTCAAAAGTTGAGCATTCCAGTTCATACCAACAGCACTACAATCACAGCAAAAAGGAAAGGAAATAGAGGAAACGCAGCATGCGGTGAGATGAGCAAAATTCCAGGTACAAGGGTCCAGCACGCACGTACAGTAGTGACAAGGGCGACCAGACTCTGTCGATAGGGATGAGGTAGAAGTGGCGACTAAAGAAGAAAAGGGAGAAGAAGCAAGGATAGAACTGCCCGGAAGCGGTGATACCGAGCGCGATCGTCGAGCGTCCCGTTCGCAACAAACCCATTCACTTGTGTCTGCATATCGTCTTCATTAGGAATGTATACCGTTTCGGGAGAGTTTCAGTCGTCTGACGCCTTACGTCTACGCTCTACATATTTCCCTAATAAGAATTAGAAGTTATGTCAGAGCCTCAGGCGGTCGGCATCAGATGGCGTCAGACTCTCATCCTCAAACGCAGGCATTTTTCTTTAGACTATAGGCAGACCATGATACTCACACTAACG